CTCATGACCCAGGCTGACCCTCCCAGTGCAGTATCGCAAGAGTGCTGCCCTGTCAGAAATGTCACCTTTCAAATGAGATATCAAGCCAAGGCCCTGCCTACTCTCTCAGAGTCACAGAACACTGGAGACAGCCATTCATCCTGTTGAGAGGGGTCTGCCATTCAACACAATCATTGTTGGTCATTTATCTCAACACCAGTCTCCACTCTCTCCCCATGCACCTTAATACCTTTAGCCTCAGGAAATCTATCAGTTACTTTGTTGAATATATTTTGTGACTTGGTGTCCACAGCCTAATGTGGTAAAGAATTCCCCAGGTTCACCAGCCTCTGAGCGATGCCATTCTCCGCATCTCTGTCTGAAATGATCTGTTCTGTATGCTGAGACCTTGACCCCTTGTTCTGGAACATTCCCCCCTCCCCACCTTTCCCCTGACCAACAGAAACATTCTCCCTGCTCCAGTCTATCCAGCCCTGCCTAGATTTTAAACGTTTCACTGAAATCCCGCCCATTCTTGTAAACTCCGGTGAATACAGGCCCAGTCAACCCAACGTCTGCTCCAACGACAAACCTGCCGTCCCAGGGATCAGCCTGATGGACCTTCACTACACTCTCTTGATGGTAATGATATCCTCTCTTAGGTAAGGAGAGCAGAACTGTCCCCAGTATTCCTGGTGTGGTCTCACCAAGCCCCTGTACAGTTACAGTACCAACTGCTCCTGTCCTCAAACCCTGTTACAATGGGGGCCAACATACCATTTACCTTCCTCGCTGTTTGCTGCACAGACATTTGCTTTCAATCACTATTGTACAAAGACAACCAGGACCCTTTGTACATCAACCTTCCCCAATCTATCATCATTTAAATGATACCCTGCCGTTCTGTTTTTCTGACTGAAGGGGACAAGTTCACTTATCCACATTATCCTACGTCTGCTGTGGATTTGCCTAATAACATACTGCGTCTAAGCTGCCATGGATGCTTTTGACATCCTCCTTGCCACTCACACTCCCATTAGTTTTGTGTTCTCAGCGAATTTGGAAATATAACCTTCGGTTCCCTCCTCCAAATCATTGTTATGCACTGTGAATCGCAGAGCCCCAGCCATTGATCCCTATGGACCCCACTTGTCACCACCTCCCACTACAAAAAGACAACCCCATTTATTCTGACTCTGCTCTGTGTCTGCCAACAAATTCTCAATCCATGCCAGGACATTACCACCAAGCCCTGTGCTTTGATTTTGCCCAGTAACTGCAGTCCACGTTTTTAGCAAAAGCTTCCTGAAAATCCAAACCCACCATGTCCACTGGTGTTCCCTCATCTATTCTGCATACAGGTGGACAAAAAGACAGCACAATACTTCAACACAGTTATCCCTCAATCAATATCATTAAAACAGATTGCATTGCTACCTGTGGGAGCTGGTTTTGTGCAAACTGACTGCCACATTTTCAATGTTACAGCAGCATCTACACCTCCAAAATATTTTATAAGCTGCAAAGTACTTTGACACATCCTGAGGTAGTAAAAGTCACTATAAAAACGTATTTTCTTTCACAACCTCAAATCTCCTGCTAATGGTGATTGAGAGATGTATGTTAACCAGGACTAGGGACATCTCCCCTGTACACTATGGAATTGGTAATGTCCTCCTGCAAGGATTGTCAAGGTCCTGACTTGAATGCTGATGCAAAAGACTGGGCCTCTGACAGTGTAGCACTCCTACAGCAGTTTACACAGAGTTTCAGTCTGGATTACATGCTTAGGTTTGACAGTCAGAAGGCATAGAATGTGTGTGGGTAGAGTTGAGGAACCACAAAGGAGAAAAGACCCTGATGGGAGTTGTGTATAGGCCTCTAGCAATAGTCAGGATGTGAGGCAGAAAATAAATCAGGAGATAGAAAAGACATGTAAGAAAGGCACTATTACCATAATACTGGGGGGACTTCAACATGCAGGTGGACTGGGAAAATCAGGTTGGTAGCAGATCCCAAAAAAAGGAATTTGTGAATTGTCTACAAGATAGTTTTTTGGAGCAGCTTGTGGTGGAGCCCAATAGGGAACTGGCAATACTGGATTTGGTGCTATGTAATGGGGCAAACTTGATGAGGGAGCTTGAGGTGAAGGAACCCCTAGGGGACAGTGACCATAGTATGATAGAATTCACCCTGCAGTTTGAGAGGGAGAAGCTGGAATCAGAATCCCTTTACAATTGAGCGAGGAACTGGCCAGAGTTGATTGGAAGGGGAGCCTCACAGGGAAGATGGTGGAGCAGCAATGGCAGGAGTTTCTGGGGGCAACTTGAGAGGCACTGCAGAAATTCATTGCAAGGAAGAAACAAACACACTAAGGGGAAGTTGGGGCAACCATGGCCAACCAGGGCAGTCAGGGACAGAACAAAAACAAAAGGTAAAACATACAGTGCAGTGAAGATTAGTGGGAAGCCTTTAAAACAATCAGCAGAGAATAACTAAAAAAGCAATAAGGTAGGAGAAAATGAAATAGGAGGGTAAGCTAGCTAACAATGTAAAAGAAATTGCAAGAGTTGCTTTAAATATCTAAAAGACGGAGGCAGAAGTGGACGTTGGCTCCTGGAAAATGGGCTGGAGAAGTAGTAATGGGGAACAAATCAATGATGGAGGAAAGGAATAGGTACGTTGCATCAGTCTTCATGGTGGAAGGTACCAGTAGTATACCAGAACTCCAAGAGAGACAGGGGGGCAAAGGACAGTGTAATGGCCATCACTAAGGAGAAGGTGCTGGTGAACCTGAAAAGTCTGAAGGTGGATAAATCACCCAGATGAGATGGACTACACCCCAGAGTTCTGGAGGAGATTGCGGAGGCATTGGTGAGGATCTTTCAGGAATCACTGGAGTCAGGGACAGTCTCAGAGAATGGGAAAATAGTTAAAGTAACCCCCCTGTTTAAGAAGGGAGGGAGACAGAAGACAGGAAGCTATAGGCTGGTTAGCCTGACCTCGATCGTTGATAAGATTTGAGAGTCTATTACTGAGGATGAGATTGCAGAATACTTGGAAGTACGTGGTAAAATAGGGCCGAGTCATCACAGCTTCATCAAGGGGAGGTCATGCCTGACAAATCTGTTAGAATTCTTTGAGGTGTAATGAGCAAGTTAGACAAAGGAGAGCCAGTAGACGTGATCTATTTGGATTTCCAGAAGGCCTTTGACAAGGTGCCTCATAGGAGCCTGCTAAATAAAATAAGAGCCCATGGTGTTAGGGGTAAGGTACAGGCATGGATAGAGGATTGGCTCGCTGGCGAAGGGCAGAGAGTGGGGATAAGGGGGTCTTTTTCAGGGTAGCAGCTAGTGATGAGTGGAATTCAGCTGTTGGGAGCACAACTATTCACATTATACATTAATAATCTGGACAAAGGAACTGAAGGCATTGTTGTTAAATTTGCAGTTGACACAAAGTTGGGTGGAGGGACAGGTAGTGTTGAGGCAGTGAGGAGGCTATAGAAGGGCTTGGACAGGCTAGGGGAGTGGGCAAAGTGTGAGGTCATGCACTTTGGTAGGAAGAAGAGGCATAGAATATTTTCTCAATGATGTGGAGGTGCCAGTGTTTGACGGGGGGGCCGGGGGGGGGGGTGCGGGGGGGTGGTCAGAAGTCACTCGACACCAGGTTATAGTCCAACAGGTTTATTTGAAATCACAAGCTATTCGAGTGCAGCCCCTTTGTCCGATGAAGTTGAGGGAGCACCCAGGCGTAGAATATACAGGTGGAGAGATCTTTACAAGACAATCCCAGGTAACTGAGTGTCAAAAGATCATACAAATGGTGTGAGTGGAGTGTCAACAGACTGAATAACAAGTCTTTGTGGGTGATCAGAAGTGTCAGATGGTGTGAGTAAAGTGTCAATAGCTGTGTGGGGTAATGAGACCTTGGGATTTTTTCCTAAAAGTTGCTGTTGGAGTCTCAACAGGGGTAGAAGCTGCTGGAGATTTGAAGAAGTAGAAGCTATTTTGTTTCCCCTCTCTCAGTTAGAGCTAGAACCTGGGGTTTCTCTTCCTTCTGCAGGTGTGGCATGTGAGGAAATCTGATTTCTGAATTTGCCTTTTTGCCAAGGGGTGTATTTATAGGATGTTACTATATTGGAACAGTTACTATTCAGTTAATTCTCCCAATAGAGTTATGTTATTTTAAGTTCTTCTTTGTTTTGTTGTATTTTAACTACAGTGTTACAGTGAATGGTATTTTGCTTAACGTTGAATAGCTTGACTAGTCAAATTGCATCTGGAACACAGCACATTACTTTTGCCTTTGTAATAAGAAAAAAATGGGTCTAGGCTACCTTCTTAACATATTTTGAGGGGGTTTGGTCTGGTCCATAACAATGTCAACAGAAAAAGCATGACCAGAAATTACATCAATAACAATGCTTCATATTTATTTAGAACCTTTGATGTAGTGAATGCAGCATACAGGAGTTTAACTAAACAACATTTGGCAGGAAGCCACATAAGAATATTTGAAGACAGATTTTCCAAAGATTAATAGAAGGGATCAGTTTTCAGTAGCATTGGGAGGGTGAAGAGTGAAGCAGTAAGACAGATAGAGGGAGGGACAGCTAAGATTCCTGATGGCCCACACTCGAGTGTTCAGGTGAGAAGGTCACGTCAGGAGGGTTTCAGCAGGAAATCGGCTGAGGAAGGGGAGCAGCTCACAGATAGATGTTGGCCAGGTGGAAGGAGGCAGGTCTTGTGAATGGAGAGAATATGAAGTAAGAAACCCCAGCATAGGGAGCTCTAAGAGGAAGTAGACGTTGCAAACAGGATTGTGTGGCTAGAGATCTAACGTTCTCTCTAAACCGCATGGCCACTCACAGGGTCCATGCACAACCATCACCATGCTGACACATTGGCTTCCCTTCCAGAAGCTTCTACAGTGCACAGACCTTGGAGTCCGAGAGGGGACAATGTTTTGATCACACCCCCAACCCCTCCCCCAGCCCTGCCAGGATGTTTCTCACTTACCGTGCCCGGTACAAAGCGGAAGCTGATCAGAAGAAGAACCTGAGCCACAAGAATAGCAAACGAGAGGTTGGCATGGATATGGTAACGCTGGTTACGGATCGTGCTTACTGACCTGCCAATCACCAAGAACAGGAATGAACAACCAAACACACACAATCAAACACAACAGATTCAAAGACTAACTCAGCTCGTCCCCCATGAACCGTCTCAGTTAGAAACCAGTCCACAGCCCAGGCACCAAACATGTTGTCACTGAATTCGCTGATCGCACAGAGAGGTTGGACAGTAAGTTGTGAAGAGAATATGAGGACGCTGCGAAGGGACACAGAGTGTACATCTTTTAGCAGGTAATGTAGAACAATGAGAACTGGTCAACTTTAGCAGGAAGAACAGAAAACCAGCAAATGATTTAAATGGAGGGAGACTGGAGAGCTCTGAGCAGCTGAGGGATCTGGGCATCCTGCGACATGAATCACATAAAATTAGTCTGTAGGTACTATTAGTCTGTTCCTTACTGGAAAGTGGAATAGAAAATAAAAGTAGGGAACTGTCCCCTTCCACCCCAGCCTCCTCCGCCTGGCCGAACTCATCCTCACCCTGAACAATTTCTTCTTTAACTTCTCTCACTTTCTTCAGGTCAGAGGGATGGCCATGGGTATCTGCATGGGCCCTGGTTATAACAAGGTGTAGAGCTGGATGAACACAGCAGGCCAAGCAGATTCAGAGGAGCAGGAAGGCTGACGTTTCGGGCCTAGACCCCTTTTTCAGAAATGGGGGAGGGGAAGGGGATTCTGAAATAAATAGGGAGAGAGGGGGAGGCGGATAGAAGATGGATAAAGGAGAAGTTAGGTGGAGAGGAGACAGACAGGTCAAAGGGGCGGGGATGGAGCCAGTAAAGGTGAGTGTAGGTGGGGAGGTAGGGAGGGGATAGGTCAGTCCAGGGAGGAC